CCGTTTAATATTTAATACACAATTTTAGTTAGTATCAAAAGGACAATAGCATTGCTACATTTGTGTATGTTACCTTTAATTTCAAGATGACAAGATAGATATATAATTAGTTTCATCTAAGTTAAATTCTTCTTTCGAAACCACAAGATTAAAAACACATTTAACATTTAACATCCAAGCGTAAAAAGGTGATATGCAAATGCATCGATAAAAATAGCATCGCAGGCTTAATTATTTAAACAAAATATTGTTTAATTGTATAACGTTAGACAGACGTTACTCAAACAAAAGTTCTTATATCTAGCAATAAGTATTTATTTAAATACTTAATAACAACATAAAAACAAAACAAAATATGTTTATCAGAAAGCCAGACAAAGCCAATATTTACTACTTGGCCATCGTCTATTTAAGACTTATCAGTGGCTGAAAGAATGAAATATAAAGCAAAAAGTCATACAAAAACGATATGGAAATGAGGTAAAATTGCAAATAAAAGGAAATCTGCTTTGTAATCCTTAATATTGTTAAATATTTGTACTTTTGGATAGAGCAGCTAATGTGTTTCTTTAAGTTGTATTTTATATAAAACTTGCCAAAATACACAAAAGAAATTACAGTTTTCTATTAATTATTTTGGCAATGCCACCACATATTATCAAGACTCCACTTCACTAAATGGCAGTATATTATTATACTTTTCAAAATGTATTTAACTCTAAACATTAGGTCAGGTTGTTTTATTGTTTTGATGACAAACGTTTTTTATTGACTTTGTGAGAAATTTAAAGTCAGCATCCAATGTGTTCTTAATAATACTGATCTTGTGTGTAAAACATATAACCATAATAATTTAACTATACTATTTAAGATTGAAAAAGAAATGCCCCGGGTGAGGATCGAACTCACGACCTTCAGATCGCTCTGTGATATTTGATTATGAGACTGACGCGCTACCTACTGCGCTACCAAGGCACATACTACAAAATAAGTAGTTGTTGCCGAGTTTAATGCGTTTTACAAACCAAGAGCATTTAGCCGAAATATATATTTTGTACATGCTGGTACTGATTTTTTTGTTAAAACTTTCGTAATCATAAATGATTTCAATTTATCTGACAAATGTAAAAAATAGAGACAAACTATTTGATATGTCCCATAATGAATTGGTGAACGCCGACTGCCAGGCAAAAACAGTATGTGCTTTCGTACATTTATTGCAGGCCACATTAAAGGATCACGATGTAGCTTGACATATGACAAAGTCACCTGACAACTATGATCCCTCCGATCACCGAGACTTTGCATTCGTTTTGAATAATTTGCATACGTTGTATTACATTGATGTATAGAATACAAGGACATCGATTCGTTTTATTTAATCTATAACTCTAAACGTTTAACGTTATTTAATGTAGAAAATTAAGAAAAATCGTTTAACATTTAGAACACATCAGCTTTTAGCAGTTCTTAAATCTACAATACAATCGATACGGTTTTTTTTGACAAAATAAACCGTAACCCTTTTCTGTTTTTTTTTTAATTTTTAATACTGTTTACAAGTATCTATTATTTATTAAATATTGTAAGTGTATAATATCACAAGCTGACGACGTTTTTGTTATTTTATTGGATTGAAATATACGACTTGGTACTTCCTGTTTACATGATTGCTATCAAAAACAACTTTTCTGAGCATTTTCCCCCCGATTGTCTTGTGTTCGAACCCAATATATCGAAACAAAGTTAATTTCATTATGGTCATTTAAAATCGAGAGAATTTGTTTATCAAATGCCAAACAAACTTAAAATTTAACGCACTATTTTGCCATGGCATCCACTAAGGACGATTCGGAAGAAATTAAGTGAAAACAATCCAGAAAAAGTGACACTATTCTCACCTCCTTTTTTGCTTGCATTTTTACAATTTAAGCTCGCTCGATTATTTCTTTTTGATGTAAGAGTGTTGTGTACACCATGCCAAAATAAATATCCTTCAACGTCATATTTCCTTCTCGACGACATATCCAGCAAAAGTTGTGACGATATTTACCTGTGAAGTGACAACACTTTTACCTTTCTGTTTAACGTGGTGATAAAATAACACGATTATTCATGTTCCTAACTTCATAAAATGTACAGGTAACAGTTGATTAATTACTGCATGGCCTTACCTTCGAATCGCTATTTTCTGTACAGATGAAAACTGCTTCTCAATAAACTGTATTGCCGACGTTTCGTCAACTTCTTTTTTGTCGATGACCATTCTCATTGCTGGACTGATTTTTTAGCAAAGGTACTTCCTTACGTTCTATTTAAATTGATTATTTTACATCAACATGGATAATCTGTGGTAGGATATCGTCAATTTTTTTTTAATACTTCAATACAATTTTAATGTTTTGAAAAAAATATCTTTACAAAAAACAAAAAAATATAGAAAACACGTGCCTCGGTAGCGCAGTAGGTAATCATATAAAACAGAGCGATCTGAAGATCGTGAGTTCGATCCTCACCCGGGTCAGTAGATATTTTGAAACTTTTTTGAATAGTATAATGAACTTATTTGTCTTTAAACTCATTATTTTGTAATATCAGTAAAATTTTGTCAATGATGATAGTGTGTTGAACTATTTCTCACAAAATCAATTATAATTGTATATCACTTAATGTTTGAAACAATTAAACAACCTGACTTAATTTATCTTATTGCGTTACATAGGTATTTAAAAAGTTAACAAAATGAATATAAACACACAAAAAGAAATAAATCAAATGGGAAAAAATATCGAGTACTCAGGAAATGTTAACTCACTATGATCACCATTTTAACGTGTGTCTAGGGATGTCTTGTCGGTTCTGTATATTAATTTTAAAAACATGATAACCAAATCGAAACTCAGCATGCGCTCTTGTAAATATTATCGTGCTTAGATATACAAAGTTAGGGTGCAACTATTCAAAATGTGCGAAAATTTAACCAGAATGTCCAACAAAAATTTCAACAGTATTTGTCCTACACTATATGGCTATTTCCTCCCTTTGGGACTCACCAGTGATATTTACGGTCAAATCATATTCAGTACATATTCTGAAAATTGTTAAGAAAACCTAACACACGGTAAGGATTCCTATAACATGCTTAACATTGCTACCCATATACAACTTCTATCTGCAAAATATATTGTACGTTGAAACTAGCATTTCCTGTACACTTTGTCAGCTACAATTCCAGCTACAAAGATGCAGCCAACCAGTGTGGTCGATATCCTTCTTTTGGCGTAAAATAATCAGCTAAAATAGAATGTAAGTAAGAACTGAAAGTAGGAAATCAGCCCAGCAATGAGAAAGTTACACTTTTTTACTTGATAAAAACGTTCTCAATGCAGTTTGTGATCACAAGTTTACATCCATACATCCTACGTTAGATCAAGGATTAGTGGACCTACGTTGTTACTTAAAAACGTTATGGAGTTTGGATTGCTTATTAGTATTGAAACAGTGGAAAATTAGTTGTTAATTATTGTGAGATATATTTAAAAATGGAATATGCCGATGATGCAATTGTGAGAACGTTGAAGAACGTTACTAATGTCGTTGTTGAGTTCGGTGGCAAGGTCTTATAACATAACACATGCAATACTTTGAAAATGACTTGTTACTCACTTCTGGTCGACTTGTTTATGTTACCTTGTTAGGCTTAATTTATTGAAGAACGTATCAGGACCAGTGACAAAATCGTTCAATATCACTATAAGATATAGTGAAACTCCTGCCTCTTTTTCATTCCCGTTCTTAAGTTACATCATGGCATGCAGGGTCGGCCTACGACTAAGCTGTACGATAACCTTTACTGGTCTTGAAAGTAACATACCTGCTTCGGAAACATATGGTGTTTATATGTCGCAGTTGTTGTTCCGGTATACGAGAGTTTGTCCTGATCTGTCATTATAAATGTCGACGGCTGACGTACAATACAGGATTTCCAAAGATGCAGGTTGATGATGAAGAGTGTTCTATTTTCTCCATTACGATTTTGACAGAAACTATGCAACTTGTTTTGTGTGATAGCAAGACCTATTGTTTCATTATGCCTATTAGTAAGCCTTGTTGTTTTGTTATCGCTATAAGGGCGTGGCGTTACTTGGATTGACATTTACCATACCGGAACACATGAAGGACGTATGGATGTCCGACAAAATTGCATAACGTTGCATACATCTATGACGCGGTGGTGACGTTTTCATGGTAATGACGCGAGTGGGCTGTCTTTTCCCTTACTAGAACGGGTTGATCTTCTCCATTGCGGAAATAAGAATATTTCTGTGCAATGTAGAAGGATTAATACATAATCAATTTACTGTATGTACTGAGCAAATATCTGCCAATCAGATAATAAATGATGTCATAACCTGAAATAAGCACAGGAAATAAATATTAAGTAACAGAAAAAATACAATCTAGTGCCACATACAACGTTTACTTTATTCAAATTTAACATATTTTTTTTATTTCGATGTTCAATATAAGATAATGTTTGATACAACTATATAAGGGTTCTTCACCATTAGAGTAAGACACTAAAGATATTCTAGTAAGCATTAACTGGTTTAACAGTCTTTCGCACTGCTAAATGAGCTAAAGCAATTGTCGTCCTAGCCGAGTTGGTAGGAAGCGGCTGGTATTTTAACATGGTGTAATATTCCCCTTACAGAACAATCGTCGTGATGAGTTTTGCATGGAATATAGACATTCTTGTGTATCGCTAGTATTTACGTAAATATTTCCCGGATCACCACAGGGGCGTCAATGAAGCAGAAGTAAGTTTTTCTATTACATCCGCTAGGAGTTGGGATTCCTTGTTTACAAGTCTTACTATCTATCGAATGAGCTTAAGTTGAATGAGAAAAGATAATATATCACTGGCTGCGTCAGAAGAAAGCGGATAGTATGTTACCATGGTGACAGATACAATTAAGTCACTATGCAGAAACAACTCGTTAGTAAATTCCAAACAAAATGTGATATGACAGTTAGTTACACTGCAGCATACAGTAAAATATCGTATACAGTACAACTCAGCATACAGGTAAGCGCAGCATACCATACAGCAAAACTTGCTACATAAAAAAACACCTGGCAGCACTACACTCATTACAATACAATACACAGTAAAACACAACATACTACAAAAATGCACTACTTACCTGGCAGGACAACACAAAAGGCAGAATAACACTCAGTACAATACACCACACAGTAAAGCACAACGTACTACAAAAAGCTTACCTAGCAGCAAAGCCAACAAGACAGCACAGCATAAAGTACAATAAAAAACGCAGTACAGCACAAATTACTGCAAAATAGCACTGTTTTCCTGGCGGCAAAGCACACAGGACAGCACAACATATACATGTAGTACAATACAACACACAGTACAGTGAAACTTACTGAAAACATTACACATTACTTAAACATAACATAAAGTTTAACACAACTTGCAATAGTACACACATTACACATCATACAGTACAGCACAACTTTCTGCAAAATAAACTGCTTACCTGGCAACACATCACACAGGACAGTACAGCATACAACATAACATAACTGACAGTGTTTCACATCATACAGCAAAACACAACACATGGTAAAACACAACTTACAGTAAAACACAAAATACGGTATTACAACTTTATAACATAATAACTCAGTATTCGGTATAGCATGTTACATAATACATATTTTCAATAAATGTTAATAAGGGTGTATAGAAAACAAGGACACATTGTTTAGTTTCGGTTAAAAGTAATTCATATGAAAGTATAGAATATATGCAAATAGTAAAATATAGCTTACTGATAGATTGGAATGTATTTGTATAAAATAGATCGTTTGTAATTGATAGAATGTTTTCCTTCCTTTAATTTTCTCTACTTAGCTTCATTTCTGGTTAATAGTCGATGTTCAAATGCGTTTCATATTTGAGACCAAAACATATTATTTGGTAGATAACATTGGGGTAATGATGAGGACAAAATCCTAGAAATGTTCATATTTGGAACAGTCTACCATTTGTGATGATCTCATCAAAAACTGTTAAATCATATGAGTCTTGCCTCGACCATCACCTGAGAAACTAGCCGACACGCCATCATTACAGAGAACCAACTATTATCCACCTGTGGTTAATGTATTGATTGGACATTAATTTCAAAGTAAAGAACACACGTTATGTATTCGCAATACTTGCTTTTAATATACATCCAAACTAAATAATCTGACATTTAAAATCACTGTGCAGGAATATGTTCATTAGATGTCATAAACATTATATAATTATAGAGATTTGTTTTTTAATATGTGTATATTATGGAACATGTTCATCGTCACTTATTTCTTTGTAAGTTTGTATCCTCTCGTATCAAAAAGGGCAGCAACTCAAACTCATTTTTGGCTTGCTAGGGTTATATGCCGATGGGAAGTATGGGCACGTGTTCATCGGTTTCTCACGTTTTTAAGTGTTTATAAAGATTGTTTTTGTTTTTGTTTTTAACAACTTTAACAAGTATTAAAAAAAAAAAAAAAAAACATGTATGTATCGGATGAATTCATAAGTTTCATTTCAAGATATCAGAAACCTGCAATGTTAACAATATAACCAAAGGACTATATTTCGGGGCATTTGAAAAAGATATGTATTTAGTGTTGCTTGTCTCTCTTATGGTCTCACCATTCTGCTCGTTCTTGGTAAGGCGAGTACTTATTCCGTAACGAACCAGGTCAATATTTGATTACCTAACCTCATTGTCCAAAATGTTTACGTCCTTTACAAGTTATTATATTAATAGAGCCTGATCAATGAAGTTGATTTGTAAATAATATAGTCTGTACGTTCTATATTACACCTTCATGACTTGTACATAACCATAACCATCATCATGATTACCATAACCATCATCCTCGTCATCATGGAATACAGAGAGAGAGAGAGAGAGAGAGAGAGAGAGAGAGAGAGTCTTGAGAAAGGGGAAGGGGAAAATATTTATAATGTCACATGGAATTTTAACGTAAGCAACTGATATATGTGAATGCCTTACAACAGAAATTCAATAATACTTAACATAAACTCAGATTTATGTGCGTAAACTGTTCCAATTAATTATTCTAATGATGTTATATAGTTAACACTTTCTCCATAACAAAGGTGATGCATTTACATTAATAGTTTATATTGTCTTTTGTATTAAGGCGAACGATACCCACTTTTCATTCAAGTGATATCCAATGCACATTGTCTTTGTTCAGTTGATACGCAAATCGGTTGAGTTGAAAACATATGTTGTTCCACTGTCATGCCACAATCAAAGTTAAGTTGTATTCAATTAATATGCGTGTACGTGGAAACATTTTCATCACCTTAGTTCGGCTCTATAAGCTGGACAGGTTTTAAATCGTTTATGGTACATGTATACAAAAAAATATCCCTCTGCGAATGTAATCACTATATAAGTGCTGTTTATAATAATCACTCAAACCATGAGGAGAGGAAGCAACTATTTGAAAACATTCTTCGAAGATGCAGAAAATCAAACAAAGTCAACATATTAAGTGTAGCAATATACATGTACTCATTTGATTATTTTCAGTTGATGTGAATCTATATACATTTGGCGTGTAACACTATACACGTATTGAGTTCTTTTCAGTTGACGTACACGTCAGTTGAATCCAGATATAGCCCCAGAATGTTGTAGCAGTACTGGTATTGTTTCTAAAATGCAATAAAGGACATATTTCAAGACATGCATCAATTAAACAGTGAACATGTTTTTGGAAAAAAAATCATTTCAGTATGTCTATTAAATAAAAAAAAGAATGAAATGATCACAGCATTTATACTTACGTCATCATAATGATCATCAGACGTTATATGGTTATTGAAATAATCATTATTAAAAAAGCTAAGACAAATCTTGGCTGTTTGATACAGATAACATTCTTGCATTATTTACAAAACTTACAACATTTTCTAGCGCCTCTGGTCGCCGCTTTTTCAACCGCCTTGCTGTTTGGAATATGTCCACCTCCTCGTCCATCTTCATTTGATCTCTGATATTGGATATACAACAGAACAGTCCACTTTGTGTACATCCGTCCCTGCAGAAGACAAATAATATCATCATATAAGGCTTACAAGAATACTGCACCCGCAACAAAGTTGGTGTCACTATTATTCTGAGTTAATATGAAGATTAATGAGTGGAAAGATATTCCGTTAAGATTTATACGTCAAACCAGTTATATTTTGTTTATCGAAAATGTAATGCATTACAATTTAATTACATTGGATATTTTACACATGTATAATTATCTGATAACATATATGTCATTAATTCTATGTAATATTTGAAATAATTCACTCTATGATTTTAGCTTATCAATTAAACAAACTATTGCTGATTTAATTATAGAACTGCTTTATAAACTTATTCTTTGTAAGAAATGCCATAACGCTGACGGTTTCATCAACCCATTCTGGTTTAGGACAGCGTCTTACTAACCGACACATGACAACAACAGGTCTTTTGTTGTCTGACCGTCGCCGACTGTCTAGCTGTTCCAAAAGATGGAGAAGAGACGAGTCAGATGGAGGCAGTAAGGAGTTCGATGACCACTGGGACAGGCTGAAGATCCTGATAGTCTCACTTTCATCGCCGGATCGCTGTGAACCAAATAATGATGTGTTCAAGAAACAAAAAGTTTAAAATAGATTATAAATTATAGTCTGATTTAATTGAATAAAATAGCATATGTAAATCTTTTTAATGATTTATCTACCTAATATATGATTTAGTAATAAAGCAGTTTATTCTTCGCTTTTACTTCAGAACTTATACATTTATACTCAAATATCAAGTATTCGAATTATCATCATAAAGTGAAAATATCCCTTTACTGGTTGACAGTTTCTCCGATTCTCAATAGCATGGCAATTATTACTATTCATTTGTTAGGGTATTTGTCTGACCTCCTAGTGGCCTTCAAA